AACTGTTTTATCAGTGCTTGATGGCGGGTTGCTGCAAAGAATGCTGAATCATGAAGAAGATGTGTTGTGGTGAAGAAGAAAAGAAACCAGCTGAAGAAGGGAAAAAGAAAAGTAGAACCATTTATAAAAAACAAGCGATGTTTTAACACAGAGTTTGTTTACTGTAGTAGACATCCAATTGAATTAGTTTGAGTCGCTACTTCAAGGACACGTTAGTGATCCCTCACCTGCTTCCCATTGGAAAAAACTGTCAATACTAGTTGAATCATCGATGTATTTACGGTCCATATTGTACAGTTTATGAGATCCATGAGCAGAAATTGTATATAATATTAATAATAGTTTCTTATCAGATGAAACTAAGAGTTTACAGATAGCACAAATGAAAACCGGCTTTTCCTGTTTTTACCATGGACTGTATAAAATATGTACGCAGTGCAGTCTACATGATGTCAACCATAGGTTTTTAAAGAGCAGTCGTGAAGCTGAAAGTAAGCAGCTCCAGTCCTTGCCATCTTGGTCGTAACGGCCTGGAAATATAGGAATATAGGAATAATCGTTCTAGAGCCAAAGATATTTTTTTATTACAGGCTGTAAACATTTTTGATTTCTGTGTAAAGTCTTGGGGTTCCATGGAGATTAATTCCCATTTGGAGATAGCCTCAAGTGGTCATTCAGTGAACTGCAGTTTTTTGCACTTCCACATTGGCTTAGGTTGGGCGCTTGGTTGTAACATTATTGTTTTTGTTGGATTGGAGAAAAACAAAAATCGGCTAGATTGGCTTTTTGGCTTCATACTGCAAGGACATAGTCATCCAACAGTGAACGGCGTGGTTCTGTTGTCTTGTATAAAAAAACGTTTTGCTTACATTACAGTTTTCTGCCTGCCTTCATATAGGTTAGGCATTTGTTAAAGGAAATGTATTTCTTTCAAAACAACCTAACATTTCCATACATTTATTTTTCATCTTCACCAATGTATTGTTGTTCAGGGTGTCTCTTGAAGCACCCTCACTGCTCCAGAGTTGGATAAATAAAAGCAATATCAACATTTTGAGAGTTGCAAATTAATTGTTTGTAATGTGCGATGTAAGCTGATATCAAATCAAATCAAGTTTTATTTATATAGCACATTTTTAAAACGATTTTTGGTCGAGCCAAAGTGCTGTACAAGCAATAAAAACACTTTACTACAATAGCAAAAATAAAAATCACACACAGGGAAATATCAGGAGTCATGCTCCGCTCTGACTAGAAGGCCAGAGAGAAGAAGTGAGTTTTAAGTGTAGATTTAAAAACCCCTAGGGTCTGGGCCGACCTCACATGGAGGGGCAGAGTGTTCCAGAGCCTGGGGCCAGCTGCTGCGAAGGCTCGGTGCCCTCGGGTTTTGAGCCTGGTCTTGGGCACTATCAGCGGCAGCTGGTCAGCCGACCTTAAGGCTCTGGCTGGGGTGTAGCACTGGAGGAGTTCGGCTATATAGGCAGGAGCCAGCCCATTTAGTGCTTTAAAAACAAATAAAAGGAATTTAAAATCAATTCTGAACCGAATTGGAAGCCAGTAGTGAGGCAAGAATTGGGGTGACGCTTTTTATGGCCAGTGAGTAGACGTGCAGCTGCGTTCTGCACTAGCTGCAGGCGTTTGATTGAGGCCTGGTTCATACCCACATACAGAGTGTTGCAGTAATCCAGTCTCGAGGTAACAAAGGCGTTAATAACCCTTTCTAGGTCTTTAAAAGATAAATACGACTTGGTCTTGGTCAATAGTCGTATTTTAAAAAAGCAGGTCTTGACTACGGTGCTGACCTGCTTATCAAATTTGAAAGCGCTATTGAAGCTCACTCCAAGGTTCGTGACAGAGGGGAGGATGTTTTTATTGAGGGAGCCAAGAAGAGCAACCGGGAGGCTGGAGGTTGGGGTCCAAAAAAGATGACCTCGGTCTTGCTCTCGTTGAGGTTGAGGACATTTTGGCTCAGCCAAGATTTGATCTCTGTTAAGCAGTCCATCAACTGCTGTAATGAGTTGACATTTGAATTGAGAGGCAGATATATCAACACATTCTCACTCCCAACCCGTCAACATGTGACGGGTTGGGAGTGAGAACGTGTTGATATATCTGTACATCATTGGCGTAAACAATGGAAGGGGATGTTGTGTTTTGTGAGAATTGAACCTAGGGATATATATTATCTTAATAATCTTTCCCTCTTCCTCATCACAACATTTTTAAAACTCCTTTTAAAATAAGTAGCTCAGAATGGAATAAATTGTGCAATTCCCGGAAAAAACACAAATCAAAGATCAAACAGACACATAATTCTGGGAAATTGAAACAAATCATAAATTAATCTCCGTAGGTGTTTCTTCTCTCTCCCTTTTAGAAACAGCAGGTGATATAACTGCTGATTTAAAACCTCTCACTGTAGCGGCACCAATTAGTTTGGTGAACATTTAGATGTGTCTGGGGCTCACGGACACTCTTAGATCATCCTGACTCAGTGGGAGTGGCTTGGCCTGGAGCAGCGCGGATAAATTATCACAGTTTCCAACTCTAGTATGGAGGCCCCCCCTGTTTCTGGATAAATCAAGCTCCTACATCATGATAACCAAATCATCTTGTAGTCAGCTCTTAAAACTTATATATTTTTATTTCTAACAACAGGTGGGGGCATTGACACATACTCATTCATTTAGTTTAAGTAGATATGACTTTTTTTAAAGACATTACTCAGAAATATTCTGTCCGTGATGAAGAAAAGTAACTGAAGCTGTATACCCCGGTTATCTAGGCCCTTTTTGTTCGTTTTTTTACACTTTTTGACCTCGAGAAACGATATTTCTGGATGTAGAATTCTTGACAATAAAGCTGACTTTGACTTTTTGACTTTGACTGAAGACATTTCAGTTATTAAGTGAATCCTGATATATATGTTATGAATGCCAAAGAAGCATCAAATGAATATTTCAAGCTGATAGCGCTAAAATAAAATTCAGTGGATCACAAAGGTTTCTGACAGATTATTTTGTGTGCACCACATTTAATGGCAACTTGTCCAATAGTTGTCAAGATATGTTATTCAAAACCCAAAGGGATCAAGAACGTCTTTATGACATATTTAACCATTAATGTGCCAATCACCCTGACAGCGTTGGAGATGTTACTGTGTAAGTGATGGTTATAATGTACTGGTAGCCGATCTGTTTAAGTGAAGGGATCTGCACAAAGTGGGGAACGCTGCCGTTTATAAAGCTAAGTTGCTCGTGTGGCTAAAAGATAATAAACACATCATACTGTAGCTGGCCTGTATCTGACCTCCAAGGTGCCAGGTGCATACTGTCTGTTGAAACAGTGTGTGTGTGTGTGTGTGTGTGTGTGTGTGTGTGTGTGTGTGTGTGTGTGTGTGTGTGTGTGTGTGTGTGTGTGTGTCACAGACTCAAGTGAAGTAAACCAAGTGGAGAAAATGCCAGTGAAGATGAGTCTGGGTAAGGATCTGAGATGATTAGACCACCTACAGATGATTCAGCGCCCGGTCGAGGAGATTTACTCCATCCTCAGCGGACTGGCTCCTCTGGCTTATCAAAGCTCTGGCAGCAGGAGCGCTGATTAAAGATCTTTGATTAAACAGGAATGTAACATGATTTAGGTTTACTTGATAAAGGATGAGTTAATGTATCATTCTTGTTGTCTGTGAAGACCAGCAATTTAGAATACGATCAACTCCTACCTCAAGCTAGAAATCAGAGATAAACAGGGTTTAATCACAAGGCATGAAACCAGATAGCTATGACTTATACCTTTGGCGTCATCGAAATGTCACTGAGGAAACTCTTTTGTTGTGGGATCAAGTGGTGCCCTGCTTTCCTCCTCAGGGGCAGAGCCAGATGTTTGTGAAGGATGTGTCAAAATTCACGGATAAATTGATCACCATGTGCTCGGTCTGGCAGGAAAAGCAAGGAGGTAGTGAGGCTAATTTATTTCGTGTGAAGATTTATTTATTTGCATAAAAGTACACGAAGCACCACTTTTAAATAGTTGCTGAAGGCTGTAATACAATGCTAAATAATGAACTTGTTCATCCATTTAATGTACGTTTATTAACAACAGAAGACGTTTGAATTTATCTAAAAATAGAAACAATGAATTCGAAACCATTGTTATAAAATCACTTGTTTCATCATGACTGAGTCTTCAAAAAGGGTGACCACATGCAACAAAAATGCTTGAAGAATCCTTTGTCCACTTATTTCACATGAAGCTTCGTGCTTAAGTTGTCCTTTAATCATATCATATCTTTGATCCACCCACCTATCAGAAAATTAAAGGCTCTCACTCACAGATTCTCCATTAGTGGGGAAATGTGTGCACTGAACTGGTTGTCCTCGCCAAACATCCAACATAACCAGCTGTGTCCAAGCCTTACAGCGGAGCAGTGCGACCAGACAATAGGTACTCAGTCTGACTCCAGGTCAGAGGCAAATCTGGCATCTTTTGATCTCGGTATCTCTCTCTGACAAACACAGTTTTATATAAAATAAAGGAAATACTTTATTTGATCATTTAAAGAGACACAGATGACATGCAACAAAGATCAAGGGCCAGATCCGAACGCAGGAGGTTGTGATTATATAGTTGCATTTAAGCCAGTGTGTTCTTTTTAACATCATTGTTATGGAATTTCTGCTCGGAGATACAGATAAAATGAACGACATGTGACAAAAGATCCAAATCTCCCGAGGCTCAAAGGCATTTCAAGAAGACACAAAGGTAAAGGGTGATTGGGATTTCAATGAAAGGACATTATAATTACCAGATTAGCTTGCAAGCTCATGCATTGTACATCTCACAACCAGGGCCGATTCTAGGGTCTGTGGGGGCCCTAGGCAAAAATTCACTGGGGGCCCCTCGAACCAGCTTTCATCACCATTGTGTTATAAATAATCTGACACCAACAAAAAAATTGCTAAATTAAACAGTTTTTTATTTAACAACTTCGCATTTTTGTTATTTTCAAAGTTAGTTATTAGTTAGTAATATGAATATAAAAGACATACAAAAACGAATAAATCACACATATAAATATAAAGAACAATTAAAACCAGAATAGTTTTCCTTTGTAAATCTACGTGAAGTTTTTTCAGTATTCTGCGGAAAGACTAGATCTGTTTCTTGTATTGGTCCTCTTGTTACTAGTGCACACTTTTCACTATCATTTAGGACATTTGGCCATTGTGCAGGGTCGTCTGATGTGATCAAACCTTTTGTAGTCGTGGTAGTGCTGCTGGAGGTAGGGGTTGACGTGTCATCTTCATGATGAGAAGATGTTGCTGTCCCACTGGAGGCAGATGTTGACGCCCCACTGGAGGCAGATGTTGACGCCCCACTGGAGGCAGATGTTGACGCCCCACTCAAGGTAGATATTGACGCCCCACTGGAGGTAGATGTTGACTGAACTGCTATGACCAAAAAAGAAACAGGGAATATCATGTTACAAGGAATATTTGGAGTGCGATGCACAGTATAATCAATTAAAAGTGGAATACTTAACTTACCATCATCAGCATTTGGAGGGGGCACCTTATCCTTTTCCGTTGCTGCTGCTGGTGCCAGAAACTTAAGAAAGGATCCTGAGGATAGATAATAAAGTGAAACTTATAACAGTAACATGTTAACAATTCAAAATGCTTTCACTTTATATAATTCAAATTCCTCATATTCAGCTTTCGAATGTTGTTCTTGGGGATAGCTTCCACTATTGTTTACTATTTCCATTTCATTTGAAAGGGACAATGTAAGTGAACATGGTTCCAATACAGAGGATTGTGCTGGAGCCTGCACTATGGCTACTAAGGTTGAAATATACAGTTTTCAGTATCATCATAAAACCACTAGGAGTACACTACAGAGAAGGAAAATACAATAAAATACACTCAACACATAGCACACTAACTTAACAATAAGTTATTTAGAGTACACTTGTCCAAATGTCTTGCATCTAAATGTCCTAATTTAACATTCATAGCTTGACAGTTAGCTCAGTCGGACACAGCTTCATCAGTTAACTAGCCTACAGAAATTAGCTGATTTCCCCCTCCAAATTACTCCCATTACTGGCCCATCTCTCCCCCATTCTTATTGAGTGAAACGTTAATGTAGAAATGGCCATGTTTATTTCAGTAACAATGCCAAAAAGATTAATGAAGACGTGTTAATACTGTAATTACTAGCTTTTACGTTCTTTCAGCCGGCTAGCTAAGCTAAGCTAACACGTCAACGGTAACTGTAATTTCTAGCTTCTACGTTCTTTCAGCCAGCTAGCTAAGCTAAGCTAATAGGTCAACGGCGTTGTACCGACCCGGCTGCGCACACTTGACTCGCTAATGTCACGTCCAGCAGAGCAGAGACTGTTCTGCTAGGTTAACTCATATCATGTTAAACGTCAAAGTAAACAAAATAAATAATTTGATTCTAGTGGAAGTTACGTAATTCAAGTTTCTCTATCCCACAGTTAAGGTTAGACTAGCAACATTTAGTTATTTCGTATTTATTCGTTATCTACTCAACTTACTTACCACTGTCTTGTTTTTTCTCTCATCTTCTTTCTTCTTCCTTGTTTCGCTTCCAGAAAGATAATTTCTCTTAATTTTTTAGTGCCTTTCCTTGTCATCAGGATTATTTAGTAAACAATCATGCACGCGATTTGCGACACTGACCGGAGTGAGCCTGGATAAGTATGGCGTTATATTTGTGCCTCTATCCTGAGCACGCAATGAAACATGTTGAGCATAGAAAATGCGATTGAGTGCACACTTGAACATCGTAGTCTCATCCCAATACCCCTCCCCGACTCCTCTCTTCCCCTCCTCCGGGACTTGACCCGGAAATCGATCAAGACACGCCATTTTGAAGGACGTCGCTGAAATGCAAACGGAGGAGTCGAGGAGGGGTGAGGGAGGAGGGTTGCGGGAGGAGACGAAAGGGAGGATACACGCGAGGATACACGCGAGCAGACTACGCGGAACTGTTTTCACTACTCGCGTATAAAAGCCCCCCCCCCCACCTTCACAGCTGGTCCATTTCAACAGAGGAAAAGTGACAACTGGAAGATGAGTGGAAAAGCGTCACATAAATGTATAAGTGCTCACAGCTCCGTGGGAATTATTATGTGCAATTCATTTCTAAAAGGCTTTCACATTATTATAATTATACTTTTATTTAAATGTAGGCTACATTTTACACCAAAACGGAACACAAAAGCAGGACCAAATTGACATTGAATTCCTTGACTAACAAGAGAAAGATTCATTCATTTAAATACATATTTAACCAGAAATGGGCCAGTTCTAAAGGGTTATTCAGTTAAGCCCGTTGAGAGGGGATACAGCTGTGCGCATGTCATCATTAACAGACGTCGTTTNCCTCATATTCGAAGGGCTTTTCGGGGAATGTCTCTTGGGAAAAGCTTGCCCAACTTCTCATTTTTTACTATTTTCCCATTCCATTTGAAAGGGACAATGTGTTAAGTGGGAAACCCATGTCCAATAAAAGATGTTGTGAGCCTGGCACTAAAGTACTCAAGGCGGAAATATACCGGTTTCAGTATCTCATAAAAACCCACTACGAAAGGGCAAAATACAATAAAATACACTCAACACATAGCACACTACTAACATTAATGTTACTTAGATGCACTGTACCAAATACTGTTTATCATAAATTCCTAATTTACATAAGCCTGGACATTAGGCTCGAGTCGGACACGTTTTAAAACTGCATTACAGGAAAGTTAGCTGTTTTCCCCTCCCCAATACCTCCATTACTGGTGTCCCATTAAAACAACGGTGAAACGGTTTAATTGTAGAATGGCAGAGACCATGTTTATTTTCAGTAACAAATGCCAAAAAGATTAATGGAGACGTGTTAAATCTGGTAATTCACGGCTTTTTACGTTCTTTCAGCCGGGCTATGCTAGCTCAAGGCTAACCACGTTCCAACGGCAACTGGTAATTTCTAAGCTTCCCTACGTTCCTTTCAGCCAGCTAGGCTAAAAGCTGAAGCTTAAGTTCTGCTATGTTAAAACTCATTGTCAGTTAAACGGTCAAGGTAAAACAAATAAATTTATTTGATTCTAGGAGTTACGTAATTTCAAGTTTCTCTATCCCACACTTAAGGTTAGACTAGCAACATTTAGTTATTTAGTATTTCATCGTTATCTACTCACTGTCTTGTTTTTTTCTCTCATCTTCATCTTTTTTCTTCTTCCTTTTTTCGCTTCCAGAAAAATAGTTTCTCTTCATTTTTTCAGTGCCTTTCCTTGTCATCAGGATTATTTTGTAAACAGTCATGCACGCGATTTGCAACACTGACCAGAGTAGAGCCTGGTTAAGGAGGGGACCCATTAGGGAGGTCTCCTACTGTCTGTCATTGCAAACGTTGCGCATTGCCCCCCTCACTCAAATTCAGTTAATCTACAATAATGGGGCCCCCACTATTGTAGATTAACTGAATTTGATGAAGGCTTATGGCAATGTATGATGTCTGTTTAATTGTATTTTTTGTATAATTTGTTGTTCTGAATTTTGCATAAAATAAAAAAAAACGACACTGATGTAGTTTTAAAGATGTGTCGCCCCCTGGGGGCCCCCTACTGGTCTGGGGACCCAAGCAGTTGCCTGCCTTGCCTGTCCGCAAGCGGCGGCCCTGGACGCAACAGTCGGGGTCCGTCTGTGTCAGTTCTTTGTTGTCAGATTGGGGTGTGTCCGGGCCTTTAGGCTTGTTTGAGATGAGCTGCGGCTCGTATCGAAAGTAGACTATAAAGACGGCCGACTGACATCATTCGGGAGGCTCTGTTGTGTGTGTACAGATGCCTCACGCTTCTTGCTGTTAACTGTGTACCTCATGTGGTAGTGGTTATTGTGATTTATGGTGTTTAGCTTAGGTTAGCATTACGTTGAGTTGTTGTACTCACAGGTAGCAGGATTTTGCGGGGGGGCATTGCCCCCCCTAGTGGCTGAAATATGTTACAGCATTACAACGTCGAAAACTGTTCCAATATAAATATTTCGTATATCAATATTTTAATAAGGTAGGACACTGGTTAATAACATTGTAGCATGTTCAAGTAACCAAGGGATATAGTAGTTATCAAATAAGTATAAGATGTTCACAGTTATGATAAGTTGTACAGTTATGTAATCGTAATGCACTGTTGTTGGGGGGAGGGACCGCCCCTTCCATATAAGTGTTTGTGTACGGCGGGCATGAGGCGTGCATGACAGGACGAGTTGTGTTCATATGTGGAAAAGTCATACTCAGTGCGGTGAGCGCTGGCTTTATTGCTACTGTATCCGTAGCACCCCACGCAATAGTTGTCTGGAAAAAAGGTTTGCCCCCCCCAAGCACAGATGTCAAACTCCGCCTATGCCTACAGCCTCTTTTTGTTGTAATTCTCTATTTTGAACAGGCTCATTTTACTAGAGTCCTCCTTTTGTTTGTTCTTTAGTTTAACCTGCACCCTTTTGGCCTCTTTTGTTTGTGCCCGGCCGTTTTGCCTGCCTTTTGTTTAACATGTTGTACAAATAAACCCTTTTAACTTGACCATCCATTAGGTGTATGTTGCATTCCTCTTCCCCTAGACGGGACGTAACACATGGACAATGTTGCCCTTGAGTAATTCTTGAAATAGTGAGATCTGTTTTTTTCAGTGACTGGTGTCCTTGTGCAGAGAACACAGTCTCAGTTCCTTTCATGCTGTAAAGGGCAGTCACCTGAACAATGTCTCTCTCTGCCAGTTTCCCCCGGGACGAGACCCGGATGTCATCACCATCCAGCTCCACCATAGCTGGAAGACACAAGTTCACACAAGCATGCATGGATGAACACACACACACACACACACACATATACACGTGAGAACTGAGGGCAGATACCAGGTTGATACACTACTGATGCTCAAGTTTATCCTACATAATATAAAAAACACATATTTTTGCTTCAGCCTTAGTAAATGGGAGGGGGTGGTGAGCTGTAATCTGTCTTTATTGCATGTCTAATCAACTAATAAATCCTGTAATAAAGTCTCTGTGCAATTTAGGATAATCTCTTCTAAACACTGCAAACCCAGCAATTAACCTCAGCCATTCATTCTGCAATAATGCCTGCAGCTACCCACGCTTCCCCTTCTTCACTGACGCAAATTAGTTTGTACAGTGATTTTCTCTCTGGTGTTTATCTGAATTGATGCGCTGGCTGTAACAGCAATGGACTGAGAGTTGTAAAAATTAAAATATCAATTATTGACCCCTGTTTTTATACCTTTAACCGTGTTCAATTATTTAAAAGGCATTCAAGCTTTTCAGAATACAAAACAGCTTGCTATGATGACATCTTGTATGTGCCTGCCAAAGCAAAATAACCCAAATATTTAATCTTTAGTTTGTGAAGCAGTCAAGAAATTGAAGGCAGCATACCGTCAAACTCTGCCTGACCAACACCAACTATGATGATGGACATGGGAAGCTTGGCACCCTAAGGAGGAATATAAAAAAGAAAGATCATTGACGGAAACGACAGACACTTGTCAACATTACCACTGACCTGAAGCACTTATTAATAGTTTACACGTCTGCATTACAGACATTATAGCAGTTGCATGCTCACCCACGTTTGTTATAACCTTGTTAATGTTCTCTTTCACACCTAAATTAGCTGGATGACCTTTAAGTAGGACAAGTCCTCCAAAGAGACAGGGAGTCAGAGAAGGACAGCCAGACGGGGAAAGCATTCGAACAGAAACTTGTCTGCTTTCCTTATCCCAGATGTTATGTACTGGAATCCAATTTTATCCCATGAATGCACCCCGGCTCTTATCTCAGGATGACACACGCTGTATTTGCCCACTGAGTGCTGGTTATCAGGCTGGGGAGAGGAGATTAAACTTGCTGACAACACTAACTGCATCACCTGAGATACCGACAACAGGTCAGCTGTTTTCCTTGCTTAAAAAACTTTCACATGTGGATTTTATTTAATATTTTCACATTATACACCTAAATAAGCTGGTTAAGGCTAAAAGGAGACATTTCTTCAGGCCATACAGTACATAGTGGGTGTGGCATTTGTGAGCTGGGAGAGGAGAGAGATGGGGGAGGCGCCCACTTCGATCAGTACAGCGACCATCCTCAGTCACCTGCCCAGCCACTCCCAAGCCACACCTCGGAAATAACTGCTTTAAATCAGTTAAACCACATCATTGTTACAAAATATCTAAGCATAGGGCCGGAAAATAACTATGTTCCCTTTCCTAGTTAGGAAATCATAAATCAAACTGTGGGACAACCAGAAATGTTTACCTGATGATAAAAATGGATGGGGTAGGATCATCATGTTTATACCGTTTTCCCTGAGAGGGCCACACATTTCTGTACCAGAATTATAATACAAATGTAGTGCTTGTCCATTTGGTAGATGTTTACAGTATATATGTGACAGGATAAGTGAAAGGTTTAAGATGCTGCTGTTACTGGATGAAAAGTCAAGGTATCACCCAAGTCAGTAGGGTATATCCTCTGGGGAACATGAATGCTTGTTTAAAATGTTATGTCCACCTAGTCCAATAGTTGTTGAGACATTGCTGGAACAAAACTTTGTATGACATAATGCATCAGTTTGACATCCATTAAGTTATTTTTACATAATTTGCACTTGTGTTTTAGATTAATGGATGTCATTAATCAATACATATATTTATTTCATCCAAACCAGCCTTAGTAACCATGTGCTTAACCACTGTGTGTTGTGGTCGTTTTCTCCTAGACAAATCAGCATCATTCTCTCTCTTTAAAATATCTTTTTGAAAAGTTTTGATTGTCTTTCTTGAACTTTATGCATCACAAGTGATGTTCTTTACGTCCTGCTTGAGACTGCATTGCACTTTTGAAAGGCTATGATGGTTTCTGTTGTAATATCAAGATAGATGGCGACATAAATGCTCAAATAAAAATCCTATATCAGATAAAATGAGTTTTTCTGTAACCATATATTTTCACAAAGCAGTAATAATGAGTGCAGTTTTATCTGCGTCACAAGACAAATGTACCGTGGAAAATCAGGCAACCTCTTTTGCCACGGGGGTGAGAGCAGTTTCTGTCGACACAAGCTCAGCCACAGCACATCAGCTTGATTATCAGTGTTCAACACAACTCCTGTCAGTGCCTGTCCTCCCACGCACATGCACACACTAAAACTCACACTGCAGATATGTACGCACACATCAAATGGCACCAAAAATAACCTGGCAATCCACGTGCCCCACTTTTCTCCTGTCACTTTGACTGGCAGTGGAAATCCAGTTTAATGAGACAACAAAACACAGCATCAATAAACTCCAACATCTCACTCAACATGTGCTGCTTAAAGCCAAATGTCACGCATGTGCATGCTTTGATGGTGTTTGTTCTTGGATTTGTGGCCGTGCACATGCACAAACAAATAGGGTTTATGGATATATGTTGGGGAAGTGACCCTCCTGTCAGTATTGGGGGTCACCTGAGTCACTTGACCATCTCTCATCTCATTGGCTTAGGGATGCATACCGGTATCCGGTGTTACCGAAATACCGGTTACTGGTGGGCACGGTATACCGTACCGAAATCAGATCCGGTTTCGATACTTAAAAAAAAAATATATATATATATTTTAAAAGTGAGTCCGTGGCCCGTGATGGCGGGTGTTATAAATTAGATTGCATAATCGTTTTTCTTCATATTTTATGTATTTTTCATTGTTTGTTCAGTACTAAAAGGTCCAAGAAGTCCCACAATTGAATTTAATATTCATTTGACATGTTAACTATATAGTAAAGCGCTTCATGGGAGTAATTGTGGGATGATACATTTTCAAAGTATCACGATATGTATCGGTTGAGTATCGGTATCGTTCAGTGGGATCGGTATCGTAAAAAAGTCAACGATATGCATCCCTTGGCTGCCTCAGAGCTCGGCTCTGAGAAAAGCTTAATGCAGCAGATTGAGGACACTTAAAAATCCAGCCGAGTGCAGATATTAACACATTAGGAGTAACACGTCCATCCATTTGTTAGAACCTCAGGAAGAATCACTCACTGTCACATGTTGACAGCCTGTGTAAAATAAAAAAGATGTTTGAAAATAAAGTTAATGTTTCAGAATACCTTTATATTGCCATCACATTCTTTATTATCCACACACTCTAAATGTATCCATGAAAGTCTACATTTGTTGTTAATCTTCTCAGTTTCTTTGATTATTTTCCTTTGATAACTTCTAATCTTTTAATACGTTTAATTAACTTCATTCACTCGAGCAGGACAGACTTTTGCAAAGACAGGCCGGTTTCTTTAATTTGTTTTTTAATATAACAGAACATTTTAGATATACTTGCTAATTAACACCAAATAAGATGGTGGAGATAAAAGCCTTCATTAAACAGAGATTGCCAATTAAAGTGCTGTAAACAAATGTCAAGATGGCCCTGTTCTAGTGAAGCTTAATGACGTCCATGTTGGGAAACTGTTTTTAAACAATAATGTAGTGTGCGGGAAGATGTCAATACTTTTTTAAATATAGCTCCTTTATGATGTATTCATTTTTAGACTGAGTCTTTTTGTAAGCCATCCAATTAAAGTGACATTTGCTAACTTACTACAACTTAAAACCGCCCACAGTTGTCATTTCTGCTGGAGAAAGTTGATAAAGGTTGGTTGTTATAGACCAAAAGCTTCCTCACTGTAAACGGCATACTGTATGTACTGTAAGGAAATGGTAAACCTAATTGACGAAGCAACATTAAGAGGGTATAGGGTTGCACAATTATTTAAGTATATATTTATTATAATGCTTAGTACATTGAGGAAAGTGGAAATGTAGAATTGTGACAGGATCATAATGCTGAGTGTGGATCCTGCCAGAATCCTCTATGAGATGCTGAATAGTTTATACAGAGCAATGGGCTATTTGTCAAGGAGAGATAGGCACAGTATCTGTGGCTGTTCCTTAGATGGTTCCTTAGATGGCCGTTACTTAATACAAAATCCCTGCTGCAACCTATTGGGAAGTAAATGGAATCAAAGTGGTTGTGAAGTACTTTTGGTGGGCCGATGATAAAGGGATGAAGAAGAAAACACTGGCGGATAACAGGTGAAAGATGTGAAAGGAAAGAAATCGAAAGGCAAGAAACGTGGTGACAGAAGTATGTAGAGAGAGCAGATGAACAGACTTCGATCTCTGAGATGAAGACAGATGAAAAAAGTATTTGCACTTTTGAGCGAGGGCTCCACAGAGAAAAAGACAACGAGGAAGCAGAGGGACACGAGCCGTGAGCAGAGGAGGGGTATGCTGAGTGACTGATAAACTACCTTTGTTCCCCACATGGGTTTGTAATACTGAGAACATGAGTAACACATTGACCGAAACATAGAAAAGGGCATGAAAATAAGATCAACATACATAATGCACATTCAGGACACCTCTCACTTTCATGAAGTTACCGTCCAGCATGAATAAGTATGAGGGAAGACTTTGATAAAACCTCTCAGCAGTGTGTCCTCCCTCTGCCCGGATCCGTGGAGAGTTAAAGGGAAAGCAGTGGAGGCGTCAGCAGAGTGGAGGCAGGGAGATAGAGCAGCAGGCAAGATCTTAAAAGGAAGGTGTGGCTGTTCTAATGTTTTGACTAACAGTCGCAAATTCCCTTTAAATCCAGTCTGCTGGGAGTTCTGTGCCTGTGGGGTGCTGATTAGGAGGAGGATGAAGAAAGGAAGAGACCAAGGTAGAGGAAAGGAAAGGGAAGCCAGCCAACTACTATTTAAAGCTGGGAGGGAGCAAACAGATTCAGGGCATGGTTTTGGGAAAGCTCAAAGGAAGAAAGCGCGATAATGAGGGAAAAACATAACCTGGGTGTTGCGCTATCTGAGCTGTCAGGTTATTCGTTAGTTTATATAATCATTTGACTATTACAGGAGCAATACCAGTTATGTGAAGCCATGATGGAAGTCATGTTGCTTTACAGATTGTAGAACAAATGCTATTGTCACATCAATGGTTCGGTGTTGGAATCAGAGTGACAACCACAGTGGACGTCTGGGCTGCATATTCTTTTCTGAAAGTGAGCTAAGCCAAGACACAGTATGGCAAGCGCTAATAAAAAATCTGTACTAACGCTGGAAACATTTGACTCAACTTCGATTAATAAATACTGAAAAATAATCTTTAGTTGCCTGAACATAGTTGTGTTTTTATATGTTGATTTAAAGGATTAGTGTGATATTTTGGTAAATAATTGTTTTGCTGATAATTACATGAAAAGATACCACTCATTTCTGTGGGTTAAGCATAAGAAACGACTAGCCTGGCCCTTTCCGAAAAATCCACCTTTCAGTGTATCTATTGTTCAGTAATTAACACATTTCATCTAATCTTTTTAATCTGTATAACATCTGAAAGGTCAAACCCCACATTTGTGGTTTCATGGGGGATTACCTGATGGACTATAACTTGAATGGGATTAGTCCATTGTAAGAGTGTGGTCTTCATTATGTAGTTGCCGGACCATCGTAATTGGTTTTCTTTGAATAAAGACAATCTAGCCTGTTTCACTGTGTTTAAGAGTTTTGACTCTTGACGATTGATAACTGCTGCTGACTTTATATTTCATCGTATCAATCTTTTCATTGTGTTTTTCCCAAATTGCCAATTATTTTTAACTTCAGAGGTATTTTCTTCTCGTTTATACAAGGTAAAACTTATATCCTGCAGTAAATCTCTCTGTTCCTTTTCCATTCTTACATTTACAATGGCCTCTTTGGTCTGTGCCATGTCGGAAATGACGCCGTCTGTGATGATGAGGAGCACAAAGTACTGAGAGCCGTCCTGCACCGCTGCTGCGTACCTAAGCGCACAAACACACACAGATTGATACAGGCAGAAGTTAGATGTATAAACTCTTTAATTCAAGGACAGATCAGGTTTTAGGATTTGTTGATGCATTTCTCTGATCATTGCTGTAGAAAAACACTTGTTATCAGACATTTTATTAAACATTGTTGTTTTACTTCAGGTAACACTCATTAAAATGCCTCACAAACACACATTGATCAGCCAATACAATGAAGTTTAGTACAAAGCTGGTTTGCTCTGCTTGATTCATAGATAAACACCCTTTGTTAAACATGTCTTCTTACATGAGTTCACCTTTTCAAATGCTAAATACCAATACTGGTTTTGTATTCTCACTGTTAGGGCTCCCGGCCGCAGTAAGTGAGATTCCATTTTTATCAGAATAACATTTTTAATTAAAATGGAGCCTTGCTGTGATCAGATGGAGAACTGTTTGGATATGGCTCAAAGAATGAGAGGGAGAGGGATGCCAAGACGATGGCTGTCGGGGGGCACAAGAATACACTCGGATCCTTTTTACGCATTGCAATGGTATGTGGGTATATTTGAATGGTCACAGGCTTTTTTATCCCAGCTAATTCTGCAACTATTTCAAAAGCTGTCAGCCAAATAAAAAATAATCAAATTCAAACATCTGGCATCAATTTTGTGTTGCAAGACAGATGTTGTCTGGGTCAGAGGAACAGTCGCACAGGAAATTGAAGCCAACCGAGTCTGGCAGTGGGAGATCTTAATCTTGATCAGCTAACATTGAGGCGCAAACATTTCTCCTTAATCGTTGATGATAAACAAATCAAATATATCTTTCTTAGGTTTGTTGGATAAACATTGAACAGTGTCTCCTGCTGTCTCAAGAGAAACACTTATTTAAAACACACTATTGTGAGAAGATCTGTTCTAACTGTTTTTATCATTGTGTTTTTAAGATTTGTATGGTATTATCTGGGGATCCAAGCTGTTATCTGCCAGTGCCAAAGACAACATTCAATTTGATGTACATTTTCATGTAAGGACCAAAAAGGTAGACGTTTTCCATTAGATGCTTTGTCTTCTCACCTGGCAACATGATTCACCACAGGAGCGAAGTTCGTTGGCCCGTACAGCTGCACTGTCTTCAGACTCTGGTGGTATGCCTCTAAGATCCCCTCGATGCCGTTGCAGTACGGATTTTCAATGTCTCCATTCTGAAAAGGAGTACAACTGTGAAAATCATGGACTTGGTGATTGCAATTATCAAACAAAGAAACTCAAGATCTTTATCAATGTTTATTAGATGTCATTTACTTAGTTCTTATGAACCATGACATGCACATTACTAATAATTTGCCACAGTATTAGACAATTCAGTGTTAACATTTTGTGAATTGGAAATAAAAACTCGTAATGAAAGATCAGTGAACAGATTAATCAAAGGTGATATTAGGAGAGGTTGACTTTACCAGAGGAAACTCGTGAGAAACCCGTCCGTCGGGGGGCAGTTTGGCTCCAAAGCCCAAAGCGGGGAACATCTTGTCGCTGTCGTAGTCCTGAATTATCTCCCCTACAGCCTTCAGGGCCATGGCATAGGCGTTCAGCGAGTAGGGATTCATGTAGTGCAGCGAAGTCGACTGGGAGGGGTTACCTACGGACCCATCAATCAAACTCCAAGTCATTGTGGGTAATGAAGGACAAAGACGTCACTTCTACATTTCTAGATACTGTTTTTTGTGCAATAAGAGGGTTTAAAATATATATATATTTTTATGGAGAGACAATTACAGAGATGAGGAGCACTGCTGCGCTCAGTTCGACTAAGTGAGAGACTGAGTGTGAGACAGACAGACAGGAGATAGCATGAAAGCGTTTTTGTTTTAGGTAGGAATAAGCTGGCAGGGCTCTTTGGATCACAGAGCCTATCTAAAAAGTTCAGAGATACTAGAAGCACTAGGAGCGGCAGCACAGAAAATGGTGGGTAACATTTTGGCTAGCTCAACACAGTGGGAAAATTAAAAAAAATAACTACATAAATTAGGAGTTTTTTTGTAGGTAAGCTGTGACTCCACAACAGGCCCACTTTAGCTAATGCAATTCTCCTTGGCCTTCAAGGTAAAACTGGTTGTTACAAATAAAGGTAGTGAGCTGAAAAGCCAGGCTAACATTTGAATCTCTATCAAAGCAGATAAACATCACATTTAACACTTTTGTGATTGTGTTTTTGGTAGCTTACATAAAGATCCATGTACAACTTTTCCATGTGAAAGCTTGACAGAATTGCTATGCCTAGTTACGGTTGCTATGCTTTTATTGGACAGTTGCTGTTCTGAGGAAGTTTTACAAACAATCAATTGGAAAATGGGAAATTCCAATGACCCTCTTTAATAATAGCTTTTCCCTGTCGATAAATCAATGGTTGTTTTCAGGTATTTTATTGGGTAGTGTAATAAGACTTAAGTGTAGTCCTTTCATGTCAAGCTTAGAGTTGTATAGTTTCATTGTATTCTTGCTAAAATGCCTTAACTTAGAGTGTATTGACAAAGCATTTAGGAGCTAGAATATCCAGGAAAGGCTATCACTTATTGTGACGATGTGTGTACATGTGCGCTCGCACTGTGTGTTGTCCGATTGATTCTAAAATCGGACATGCCACTTTCAAAGAGCACAACTATCTATCCCTGCGTCCCCTTCCACACCCACTTTGCCGTTAGTATCACTCACCATTAGATGCTGTGAAATCAATGGCCACGGTGAAATTGATCTGCGTTCTACAAGAGGGATGGAGAAGAAAAATCAACGGAAGAGACCAGACAGTTATAAAATAAGACAGGCCTCATTAAATACCAGCACTCGCACACACCCGTCCCATACACACATTTGTTGTGATATGAGAAAAGATGATACCTAAAACGAAGGAACATCAAACACAAAAATAGCCAATTATTTCTTATTATGATATAGTTTCACACAGATCAATATTTAATTCCCGTTGTTTTTTTGAGAGACACAGGGTGCAGTCTCTCAATCGTCAAATATGATTTAGGTGATTACGCTCTCTGACTCTCGCCTCCCGTGAGAAGGCGTAGCAGGAGGTGCAGATGAGCCTTTGAGACACTGAGCTGTGTAACAAGCAATTGATGGAGCACTTAAGAGCAAATCATAATCCAATTTTCCCTGCTGATGAAGCACTTGCCTCTTCTCGCTAATTTACGACAATGAGACGAGGCCTTAGGGACCCAAACGACATTCTCTCGTTATCTATGAGAGCCATCAGAGAGGAAGGTAAAATAATGGTATTAAAGGGATGGTGTAAAATATTCACATTAAACTTTCAGTTTGAGGGTTGGGATGCGGCAAAGCCTCACCCTGATAACTTTAGTATTCATTTGTCTTTATTGCATAAATTCATGACTTTGGGAATTCTTGAAAAAAAGAGAATCACACTTTGTTTTCTAAGAATGTACTCTTCTAAGTTTCTTTTACTAACATGGTTTACCTACCTTCACTTAAACAATTGCCATCTATCTATCGCTCTATCAATGGGTTTACTTTCCCAAACGATCTTACACCAAATGTAAAGAAAGAGAACATATTTATTCATATTTAATTTATTAACAGCATAGTAAGTAATCCAGTGTTATACAAATAGCGGCGGCGCAGCCAGGTACCAAAAACCTTTTTTTATTAAAATAATAATAAGTGGTGACCCTTTTTAATTGTTTGTTATGTGGATTTGTAGTATTTGTGTTACTGTATGTTCAATGAAGGTGTATTTTTGCTAAATCTTGAGACATTGCCACTGTACCTCAAGAGCCTTTCTTGTGCTGGCAGACACATACAGTAGAAACATATTGGCGGGGCGCACTTCGCACGTGCACACACAAAAAATGTCCTAGGGGAAACACTGTAATCTGATGTTGTGTTTTTACACCCCATGTTCAGAGCAATCACAACGTAAATGCTGTGATCGTCAGCATACACTAAAATGCTTGCTGAAATATTTTTGATGGTTACGTTCATTCGTCGACTCCACTTTGTTAACATAACAACACTGTGAGTTTATCCCAGATTTCACTACTAACTAAAGTGAGATGCTCATATATTTTGGCAGTCTCTTGCCCCTTCTGTTTAACCTTTGTAAAAATGTTCGTGCTTGAATTTTCAAATTACACTCCAGTCTTGTTGAGTAGTAGTTGAACTATCTTGTTACTTTCTTTCTTTCCTACCATCTCATGCCTCACTCATTCCCTTCTCTTCGTTCCCTAAGGCTACTGTAAGTGTGACAAAAATAGAAACTTTTGCTGAACTTTTACTATCAATTCTTGAAAGCAATAGCACACTCTGTGCTTGTTGTTTTAGCTGTTGCAACACTGCTTTATCTTAATTCAAGTTCTAGAGCGGTAAAAGCTAATGTTATTTAATGTATTAACGGGACATGAATGCAGTGAACCATAATAAGCACAGACTGATGGGCTCTATCATTATGTTCAAAGTGTAATATGTCCTCTCCAACCAAAGCACTCATGAAAGATACTTTGGAGTTCTTTATAAGCCAAATTATCCCTATTCTTTTTATGATTATGGTGGCTTTCAAAGAAGACATAAAAGCTTCTAGACTAGAGTACACTTTGCATCATGATGAAAGGAGTTACGCCACATGATACCGAAAAGTGCTTGAACAGCTAGCCGAAAATACTTTTACTTTAGTTGTTTCTCAAGTTTTTTTATGCCGTAAAGTGCTTGGACAGTTTAAACGACGCATTTTCCGAACCTCCATCCATTTTGTACAGAGTTCCACATTTGCAAGATCCAACTCTTTAATGTGTCATGCAGTAGGTGCCAGAGTAATGTTAGGGCGTAAAGTGATGGGTATGATGTTTTTGAAGTGAGGTCACTAAACCTTAAGGTTATTGTATCATTGATCAGCAGAAGCTAGGAACTGTCAGTGAAATCTGTCACACTTGTCAACTCTGCCATAGCTCATAAAACCTTTGACAGCATACCCGCTGTGACGGGACAGTGGAGATCAAAGGAGAGCCCGACCGGTCTGAGACACGCTTCACCTGAGACACACTTAATTTTCAAATGTCAACCTCCGGCTCTGAAACTAAACTGGTCCAAACGTTGTTACCCATTTTGAAGATAGTTCGGTCTTACCTCATTTAAAATATATTTGGCACTTTAGTATTGCAGTCGGCATAGAGTGTGAATTTATTAATCTAATTACCAAAGTGAAGGTATTACGGTGCCACTTAATGAAAAATGAGGCAATAGAGATATATGAATTTTAATATAATTGTATGAAGATTCATAAGTAAATTACAATCTAGATGTTTTATATTAATGTGCACGTCCCATTAATTCTTTAAATGAACATTTAAACAATAATTTCCGTCATTCTTAGTTCAGTACTGTAGTTTCGGCCAACATCGCTTTCAACAAATAGCCAGTACACAAACTGCACTTTGTTCACAGCTACATCATTTCTCAATTTATAATCTCTGTAACACACACATGGCTCCACTGTCTCGCAATAGAAGACATTAGTGTAGCTGACACAACATACAGCTCCATTAAGGAGTTTATAGCTGGATAACACTCTTTAGTTTAAAAAAACACTTTAAAAATGTTTGTTCCTGGGCCAGAAGAGAATCAATGTTGGGCTTGAAGAAACTGGAAGAAACCCTGCTTCCTTTACCAGAATGATCCTTCAGAGCTAATAGTAAAGACTTAAATGGGGAGCATGGGAGTTAGTTGAGAGCAGAAAGTGTTTAAAGGAAAGGGGGAATTGCCAGGTGGCCAGAAACACATCCCTCATACAAATGCTGCTAAGGGTCTAATGTCATCATGTTAACCATAAGCTTCTACAGTTAACCCACGCCGAACAAGAGGTAAAGTGGCCATTTCATGGTCAGTTATTGTATTGTAGTAATTTCCACTCACCCTCCTTTGATGTAATCTAAGAACGTGAACTCTGACTCCACTGAAAAGGAGAGCAAAGTCACCTGGAATTAAAGACAAGGAGAACAAAAGGGGGTTATGATATAACAGTATCTTCCAATAAACTGTTGTAGTTAAGTCTCACTTTAAAAAAAGATGAGAGCCGGCTGGTTTCTGATCACAGATTAATCTACATTGTCAGAGGAAAGTTTGAAGAGAGGATGAGAAGCATTTGAATGCATTACTCGCACACACTGCTGTGAAAGAACATTCAGTGTCTCGTCTGTGTCGCACACTCTGATCTTTAACATCTTCTAATATGTATTTCAAGTGCTGCAGCACCTTCATCTTTTATTTTGTCCCACCCACATACTTAACTGACACCCAAAGTCCATGTTGCATGTTCAGATACAGTTTATGTTATGTAGTATATAGGCAGTGTGTTTGTGTACAGACATTCAAACACACGTACATATAACATAAAGTATGTTTTTTTTAGCTTCAGCTGAATTTCAAAACCATTACTGAATCTTGTTTTTCTTTTTTAACAAATGTTTTTGATATTTGGTATGTGATCCAACAAGTAACTTTTTCATAAAATAAAAATTACAGAATGGCTTATTTTTTCCTATAAACCAGTCCTGGTTGCTATAGCCATACTCACTGTCCCAGAGTTGGCATATTTCTTTTTCTTCATTTTCTTCTTGGTGTTAATCACCTAAAGAAATACAAGGTACAGGTTATCAGAAAATTGAATATTTTGGCCATAAGTTAAAATAACCAACATTAAAAATGAAACCAACATATACAACTCAATCTGCTTTCAAATCTGAATTCTAAATTTCGCAGCGATGTATGAAGATTATACAGCTTCTGCATCCCAGTGACGTGGAGGAAGTTAAGGGAGGTGACAAAAGGACGTTTATGAATTAAGTTACAGATGTGTATTAGTTGGAACGCATAGCTCATGTAAACTTATGAACATTTATTATACCTCCATAACGCTATTACAGGGGCAAGTAGAATCTCAAACCTAAATCTCAGGCTACAAATAATCGATGGTTGAAACAGGCGTAAACTACAAGACTTACATTTATTGCACTGGTATTCTAGCGGCTCCAGAACAAGAGAAACATGTCAATCCGTAGACCAAAGACGTCTCGGCTCATTACACTCATCCTCTATGGCAGCTAGCCATGAAAGTGACAGCCCCTAATTTAACATGGAGGGATGGCAATTTGTCTGACACACTGAACAATCTGCTGATGCAAAGACTAAAGGGCCTTTCAGTCTCACTGGGAGGTAGAGAGGAATCAAGGGTAGCGTATAATGGAGCTAACATCCAAAAGACAGGTATTTGTCCGTCGACTGGAGGCTACCAACCCACAGGAGCTGAAACTATTGAAATGTCCTTCTTTATGGCTCTTTATTTTTCTTCAATTCAAATTGTTATGCTCATAATCTTAAAAATACAAATATCTTTGATAAATATAATGATAAATCCTGCTTCCCAAAAAAAGCAATTTGGGATAAATGCAGGACGCATGTCATTTTTACGCTTTGCCAGTCACCCCTTGGATTGTGGGACGTTTTAATGAGTTGGGTTTGTAATTTGCTGTTGTATCGTGTGCTATTAAGGGGCGAGTAAAGCTATCCCATGAGAAGAACTGAGAAATGTCTTTCTCGTTCTAAGTCCCTGGATAGTTTTTCTATTAATCCGGTTTCAAGCTGTCGCTAATAGCTCTATTTCTATGAGAGTCAACCCACAGGTGATTAGTGGCAAAGTAAATCTAATGACAACTAAATCATTTAAAACTGAAGCATTTAATTAAATGTTTAACTGTTGGGGGAGTTAAGGGAGAGATAATGCACCATACAAATGACATTTAAAGAAATAAATTAGGAATGTATAGAATAGGAATGCAGGAGTAGAAGATGGAAGGAATCTGCTGGTGTAATGGAAAACAGTGCAACAATGATGTCAGATGGAAATGTCATTTGGGTCGGAAATGGGATCCAAGACGCGAGGCGTAGTGGGATTCCAGATCTCAGGAGCCAATAGACTCGTTGTTGAAATGTGAACACACTGGAATTACTCACCTCATACACATTAAACTGGCTCTGCCCTCGAGCTAGCTCTCGGTAGCTTGTCGTAAAATCCCCAATGAAGTCGTGGCTGGGAAAAGGAATGAAAGGAGAGAAACAACAGTCAATAATAAAAAAAATATCAGGTGAAAATACCAGGACAAATGTCAGGGACAAAATGGATTTACGCGACGGGAAATGATCAGTTTCTTGGTTGAGCCAAAACTTGGGCTATGTTTCGATTAAATTTCATTTCAAAATTGCAATAACACTCACCTGCCATCTCTATCCCAATCGTACACCTCCACCTTGATTGTTCTGGGAAAAAAACAGATACACACAATCAGGTTTGATTTTAAAGCAGCAACAATCTCACCACATCTCCCATCCAGTAGCTTGCTGTGGATTTGTTGATCACATGACATGAGCAGATTGGGCTTACCCATTTGACATGGAGTTATAAATGCACCAAATTACTCATCAAACTAATACGGGAAGTTCCAAAGAGGTGCTTTGAAAAATTTGCTTCTTCTATTTAGAAGTAGCGCAGCTCAACAATGCTTGAAATTCATCTCTGAAGCATAGCATTTAAAAATAGGGGGTTTCTTTCAGTTTCAATATCCTGTGGAAATATCCTATTGTCATTAACGCTAATTTAATTAACAAGGACAGGTGAAAGCTGCCAGAGGTGTGTGCTCCTGTTTCATTTCACCCTTTGAGCCTGGGAGTTTTAAATGCCAAACACATCAGACCCATCATCACTTGAGGGTTTCAAGGAAGAGAACAAACCTGAATGTTTATTCATGCACTCGCCTACAATGGTTGTCCTTTAGTTTTGTGTGGTATTGACTGAATGATTCACTGGATCTTACGTACTTCAGGTTTGTTTAAAAATTAAACTGGATTCCATTGATTTCATTTAAACTACAAGTTAGTGTTTGGAAATGATAATAGGGGATCCCTGAAATAAATGAAAACGGATGTCACTTTGTTCCAAACCTGGGATTCTTGCCAGCTTCAGAACAAGGCTCAGCAGCTGGCTGCACGTTGCACTCTTATAAAGCACTTTCCAAAAATGGTTACTTGCAAACCTCAGCACATGTTAACTTCCACCAGTCAAAAGAACATCAAAGAAAAACACTGTGATGACATTTTATACAAATGCTGCAGAAAACAATGTCCCTGCAGAGTGGAGAAGAAAAAAAAAACTTTTTGGCACTTTCATTCCTGAGACACATTGATCTCACCCCCCCGCGTCTCCCCTCTCCTCCCTACTTCTTCGTACACAACTACTGACACCAGACCAGATCCAAAGGAAATGGAAGCAAGCAGTGCATCAGAGACTCTTTTCCTGTCACTGAGGAATTGAAAGATGCCTGAAATAAGCCCAACTTCCTCTCTGCCACCTGGCTCTCCCATTTTGTGGTGACAGTTTGTTCTTTTGAGGTTATCTTCAAGGCTGTGAGAGAGAAAATGTGCACCTAGGTGGCATAAACATGATGCTACTCGTCCAGCATGGAAAATAAAGGGGGTTGATATTGGAAAATATAAATCAGAATCTGAGGAAGAAGGAGTAACGCAGAGAAAAAATTGAATCATCCCTGACCATTCAATATGCAGGGCTAGCGCTAGGTGCTGCGGTTTGAATGCAAACCATTTTCAAAGTACCAGGATGCTGCTTCATACCAACTCAAAGCATTTTCCATCATTTATTTCAACTTACAGCTGCATTGAAGGACTCAGACGCTCAGATCATTGAGTGGCGCATTCAACTCCCAGAACAATATACACTCCAAAACGAATCTGCCTCAGATATCCTCAGCTACTATTCTAAGGCAGCTTTAATCAACTTAACAATCATTCAGAAACAAATATCTGTCTGTGATATTTTGCAAAGGGCAGAAATAGTCTTCGCTTGAGTCACATGGGAGAGAATACTGGAGAAAGTCCAGTATACAGGGGATATGAGGGATACAGTACAGAAGAGAGAAGGAACAAAAAAATAAATCCATTATAAAAATCACTTTCAATTCTCTCCAAAACTTCCCCGTCCTCTTTTCTTTGACATGCTCTTCTTGAAGAGGACCTTTTACATATTGGATTTCTGTTTTTACTTCTATAACCCTTGCCTTTGCTGTCTGTTATATGTTATTCTTCTCCTTGAATTCCTCCCCTTTCTCTCTCCCTACTTCAATTTCCTTCCTTCAACTGTGTTTTGTATTGTGCTAAAATATAGTCTTCGGGAGCAGATTGCATGTATGTTTGCTCTCTGTCACCACAGACTCAACCTGATCCTGCTTCTTGAAGAACAGTCTGTGTAATGACTATGCCGCCCAGTCGATAGCCAACCGAGAGTGAAGGTTTAATTAAATTTTGCAAGATATTCTTAAAGGTTACAAACTAATCTAACTAGGATATGGTAGACAGATAGCCTTTGGCGATGATCCACATCTGGGATTTCCAGTTGTTGTTTTCTGGCTATAACAAGCAACACTTTACCAATTACAGATTTTATGCAGCAACAGTTGGGCATGGTTCAGTGGCTTGTAGCCTTTGTTCGTTCATGTTGAACATTGGTATAGATGTGGCTTCTGTCAAAAAATGTTTTAACCAGTCTATGGTTTTAACGTTATAATTAAAGATAACGACACACCCTGTTCTTTGTAGTGATTGCATGGATAAACTACACCACGTGTTCTAATATCAATACGATAAATAATTATCATTCCTATTACCAATATCAATCCAACACCACTCCTTCTTTCAACCAACATCTCCAGACTCCGCCCATCCCTTTCTCAATCAAACACTGAAGTCCTGGTCAATGCATATGTCACGTCCCGCATCGACTACTGTAACGCCATCCTCTCAGGCATACCCACCAAGCTCATCAATAAACTACAAATCATACAGAACTCTGCAGCCCGGATCATCACCGGCACCAAGGCCTCAGAACACATCACCCCCATCCTCATCCAACTCCACTGGCTCCCTGTTCAATCCCATATCAACTTCAAAAACCTACTGCTCACTTACAAAGCCCTACATAACCTGCCCCCCCCCCCCTATCTGGCTGACCTTCTTTAGGAGTACACGCCCTCTCGCTCCCTCCGCTCCTCCTCTGCTGGTCTGCTGACTGTCCCCACCCCACGCCTCGTCACCATGGGTGCTCGGGCTTTTAGCTGCACTGCTCCCAGACTTTGGAACTCCCTCCCCCCGCACATCCGACAGTCAGACACAATCACCATATTCAAATCCCAATTAAAAACCCACCTGTTCAAATCTCCTCACTCACTGTAGTGCTCCCCATTATATGTTTCATTTGTGTCCACTTGACTGTCTCCTCTATGATTTCCTGTTTGTGTTTTTATCATGTTCTGTTGCCTATTAGATTTTTCTCTTTTTTTTAACAAATTGTACGGTGTCCTTGGGTGTCATGAAAGGAGCCTGAAAATAACATTTATTATTATTATTATTATTATTATAATCAATATCCTGCATTACTGCATGACACTGCTGCATCCATTAGTAAAATGGGGCTGCTACTACACTGCAGGAGTTTTCCAACAGCAGTCGCACTAACACAACTTTTTCTATTTTGAATTGAGATAAAGATTTGATTTGGAAACTGGTTTGAAAGCAGATACTTGTTTTTGTTTCATGCAATACACTATTGGCCTTTTACAAAAGTCTGTATAATGAACAGGTGAGACATTCAGCTCAAATGAAGCACATTGCTGAGATATGTACAGTCCCTTCAATCCACATCACAATGCGTCTTCAAAATTTGTATTGGTTTTATGTCCTATATATATTCATAATGCATTGTTGGAGGAGCCCGGGACTTACGTTTTTCATTTCCATATCTATATTGTAGCTACTGTGCATGACAATAAAGCCTTGAATCTTGAAGGAGAGTTTGAATGAGGTTTACTTTATTTATTAGTTCCATAGATACCTGGTCTGAAGTGAGACAAGACTAGTATGACTAGAGTGCAGTCCTATTTTCAAGTGACTGTATATACGTTTTGTATGTGTCTGGTTCGAGAAAGACAGTGATGCAATCTTCTGGAGGAGTGCGTCATCTCACAGACACTGGCAGAGTCTTGCTTAGCTTGATGCTTAATAGTTGGGTTTGAGAGCACAATGCAGCTTTTGGATTTCACCTTTTGCCTTTTGGTGCATCCAACAAGAGTGTTCAAAGCTGTGATCTTATTAGAGCCGAGCAAATCACCAGTAGGCCATCCACTGACGTACTTCAGCAGACTTCTACTACTCGACAGATAGAGGTGCGTCAATGCCTCCTCCATTATGTGCTGTAGTGAAGTACCAGCTCGGAAAACAAGCAGTTGGAGCAACAATAACTGCCTCTCCACCCATGTACAACAGTAATAAACACAACAATGCTCCTTATGCAACTCGTGCTATTTATAATTTATCGATCGTTTTGGATCAAACCCTCAGACTTGGAGATAAAGCATATTGAAGAGTACGAGAGACTCATACAGAGCATACAGTATAACCTAATGTAGGTTATCCCTAAAAGTGTGTTTCTTTCCTTTATTCCATACAAAACAAATGTCACTTTGCACATAACAAACTTGAGCGGAAACACTGAAAATGCCTTCCCTTTTCGATGGTTTGAATGTACCCAACGAGAGAGATAGTGGCCCTATCTGTTCATCTTGATGCAACCAACTCATCTACGTCATCTTCATGGAAACACATCTCAAATAAATTGAGGCTTTGTGAGATTTTGGCAGAATCCTAGGTGTCGAGGGCTCTGCAAATCCTCCATTTATCTGCTTGAGGTCACAAGGGGCCTCAGTTTGACCTTCTGCAGACTTTCAGAGTGACTTTGCTGAATTATTTAGAATTGTTGTTATAATCTGCAAAGTTAAGGAGGCAGTGTTTGTTTTTTATTCCATCTGCGCTGTGAGGATTTTCAGTCGAGGGCTTATTGTGAGTATAAAGTTAGCATTATTAATCATCACATGTAAAGAGACAACTAATGAATTATCATCAACTATTGATCTTGCATTAGTTGCCAATATAACCACGGTAAAATAACCATTTAGAACAAATACAATTCATTTTCTCGGAAACTTTGAGGTCTTAAATCACTTCTTTAATACAAATGTTTATTTAAAAAAAAGAGGAAACCAATTTGTAATTATTTAAAGAGACTTGCCTAGGTTTCTCTTTTGTATGTTTACTATTTTTCTTTATTAAAGGTATCAAGTATTTCTTATCTGATTTCTTGGTTATCGATGGGATAGTCAATAATCGATGACTGAAATAATCAATACCTGCCGCCCTAGTCTTAACTGATTTAGTAGTTTCCCCCTCCCCTGCTCCATAGGGTATGGACACCACAGCTTCAATAAAACCTTGAGGGCTACCTTCAGATGATAGAAGCAGAAGTAATTACACAGATCAAAATAATTGACAGCGTTGAGACCCATGTTTCTTGCAGAGGTTGAAAAAATCTATTAGTAGGTCTTAAGAACTACCTATATAATTAAAAAGACAGACAGTTCTGCCATTCCTCTTTGTCAAAAAACACTGACACAAAGATTATTCCTCACCCACACACAGGTATATAACCTGTTATCGCTGGCTTGTGCTTTTCCTTGCACTATTAATATAAATAATATCCATTTATATTCTGTTAGCTGTAAATTGGCACTCAGTGTTTTATTTGGCTGATAGTTGACAGATTTTTATTTTCACGGTCAACTTGTATATTTTCTGCTTTTTTAGTTCCGTTTTATTTCTATCTTGATATTTTATAGTTTTGTATTTACTACTCTTTCATTTCTAATTATGTGCAATGCCTTGTCCAAATTTTGGATCAATAAAGTATATCCTATCATCTTTTTTCAGGAAGATTTCTCACAGTGGCTTGATATGGACATATTTTGGTGCATTTTTGCAAGGAAACAAGCAACTTTGATGCCTGACTCAGTCTCTTGTGCATGATTAGCTCTGATAGGATAGCCATCATTCTAAAGCACATGTGTGATTGGACATATTAGGTACCTTAGCCAGCCACAGTATCGAATACTTCATAAAACAACCCCACCAGTAACCCTGCTCCCTTCAACCTGTTTGGGATTATCTGACTTTTCTGAGCACACACCAGTCTCCCAGCATTCTCAGTAATTAGAGTCTGACTGCGTACAAACAAGATAGGACAGACCCCTTTGAATGAAGGAGGAGAAAAGGGAGAGACACAGAAAAAATATGCTGTATGCCTCATGAAATATCCCCCCCCCCCACAAATGTAACCTGTCAGTCACTTCTTTTTCATCCTCCCTCACAGCTTCTTCATGATTTTGCTTGTTTTCTTCCTGTCTTTCAATTTAGTGGCAGGCAGATAAGCTGGTAGGAAAATGAATTCATATCCCCCTTGCCACAACATGTCTACATTAATTACATGACAACTGTGAAGAGCAACCCATCATTATTTTATATTAAGAGTGTTCCTGTTGTTTGCTATCTTATTATTTCTCTCACATTAATCTCCCTTATTTTTATTATTTTTGCCCTGCTTACATTCATCAACTGACCATTTACTTAACAATGTCGCCTTTACTTACTGTGACATGTGTTATCACAGGTTATTTGTTTTTACACTGATAATTTGGTTGAAATGACAACTGTCACAACAGAGGTTATTTTTTACTTTTTATTGCTTCAGACATAATTTCACCGTTATAAAATGAAACATGGGCAACACAGTGATATATAATATCAGAATATGGAAATGTCTATTGTATATATTTTTTGATATCGTTTCTATTGAAATGTAGACCAGGCTTGTGAGAATTTCTTCTAGTATTCGGCCAAAATCTGATCAGCTCATTTTCAGACAGGTTTTTATATAATTGGATCAGGACAAAAAGTGAGCGAATCTCTTTACACAGAGGAGAACATGTTTAGGTATACAAGACATGAAAATGTGGATTTTGCTTAATAGGTGATCTTTAAGATGAAAGTGCAATCCATATTGATATTCCATACCCTTACCTTTTGCAATGGTGTTTTTGAGTTTTGGAAAGGCATCATTCTAGACAAGGGTTCAGTGAACAGCCAGTATAGGCACGCTGTTCACCAATTGTTAGCGTTAAAATGGTATACTTATATGGCCCACATTATATCTGAAGAGGTAAGTGTTGACAACATAATCACCACAAGGATGTCATTGGAGACAAGAGATGCTTGTTGAGCGTGACCCCTGCTACTCTAGTAAATATTGATACAGAGCGATGTCCTTAGCACACAGCAGCAGAAATAATGTGACAGTTTAAAGAATTGGAGGTTTATCACTGTACCTGGTTAAATGGATCTCTGCTTAAATCCATCGACACACAGGGTGTAATGGCTGTCACCCGTTTGCAGTTTGTCATTCAGAGAGATTATCATTTGGAGCCATGAAGGCAGTCGATAAATTCAGCCAACAGAAATCAATGAAAGTTGAAGATGTCAATGGGGTCGGCATGATAAACTATTCTAGTTGTGTGTGCACGTTTTTCTATATGTGCATGTGTGATTAGAGACATAAGGATACATTGAGCCAACTGTGAAAGATGGCGACCAGAAGGTGTGGGGGAAGCTGCATTGTTTACCTGTCGTAGTCTCCATTGCAGAGCGCTCGTACTGGGATAGCGAAAGGCTGCCACACTGGATTTAATGTGTTCTTCACCACCTCAGTTTTATGGCAGATAGTAAACCTAGAGGTGGAGGGAAATTAGGAAAATATATTAAAAAATAAATGAAATGTTGACATTATGTTTTAAATTACAAAAGCCAGGGAGAAAGATTCATTTTCAAATAAGGGGATGAGCAATTCTCTACAACAGAAACAAGAAAAACAAGGCTCAAACTTTTAATATTATTTTTCAAAATGTTCAATTGTTTTGAATGAATAGCATGATGGTTAATTATTTTGTCAGAGGCTCAACTGTGTGAAACATGGATACAGCTGGACTAGAAAAAAAGTGTAAAATGTTTATTGCACAATTTAAGCGATATGGTATGGAGTTATCACTCAGGAAATGGAATCATACTCCTACATTAATACTGATAGTGCCAAAGACGATCATGTCAATACAATAACAGCGGGATATCTATTGCATTCAAATCGACAGCTTCTTAAGTCTAGATAACTTGGAGCTGTTCAACTTCAGAAGCACTTTCTAAAACCTCCTGCAAATGGCTACTCCTGTCTACCTTTGAGGCAAGCTGTAGCTCCTCTAAAACCAGCCTAATGTCAAGTCCTACAGTGACAATAAATAGGGCTGTACCCATCTTTGTTTATCACTTGGCTTGACTCCCAGCAATATTGTGTGTTAGACCCCGGAGAATAACTACATATTTTGGTCTGGCTTTTAAATCCTTTCCCTTGACCCTAAGTGTGACAATGATATGCAAATGAATTCCTCTGATATTTGAAATGCTTCGCTGAGCAGAGTCAAATAAAGTGCTATCAAATTCCGCCAAATATCCTCTCCAAAAGCAACAAGGCTTTTTTACTTGTGCCTCAAGCCTTTTAAAACCGTGTTAGTCCTTTAGCTGCATAGACCTCTAATTTGCAACCCCCCCCCCCCCCCCTTTTCTCTGTCAGCAAACACAGATACTGCTTGCACATCTTTGGAGATCCATTTCCCACCCTGTTATGTATAAAAAGAATACTGCGAAAAGCTGGAAGATGGCTAATGAAGCACTTGCTAAACCAGCTCCAGTAAGATAAGGCTGACGCTGACACATCTGCGCAGTCCCTCGGGAAGCTGAACAGCACTTTGGGAAGGCGTGAGGAGATGGGGGAAGTGTTGTGAATCCCTCTGTGAATTGCCTTTGAAACTGACACTGTTTTTCCTATTGATGGAAAATGCAGATTTATCCTAATCTTGCTTTTATTTATTTTTTCTCCATTTCCTTTTGGATCTGCTGGAGTCATTTAAGTAAGGTATAGTCATGGGAGTAGTATTTTGAACAGGATACTCGCCTCTGTATGCAGCTTTTTAAGTTGTGCTTGTATCCGTGACCACTGCAATTCTTCTCCGTACATAAAGTCTCACCACTCTCCTCTCTTCAATGTTCCTGCTGTTTGTGCCTCTCCCACTTCCCCATAAGATTCCCATCTGATTTTTTTCTATTATGTTACTGTAACCTTTATGATATTGTTCTTTAAAACTCATTTTTCTAAATTGTTTTTCAAAACTCTCATAGGAGCTAATTTAACCTGCTTCAAGAAAGGCAACCTAATATCTACCCTGGATATTGGGGAGCTTGGTAATACAAAAAGCAGCAACTATTGTTTAAATGTGTTTGTCGATAGGACTTTCTTTAATGTACCAGACTTACATCTCAGTGGAAAATGTTTGTCTCAGGGGGCTTCCCTTTCCACTGGCAGCACCTGCACTTCCTTTGAAAACACTTGAAATAACAAAACTGAATCGCATGAAACACTCACGTTCCGTCCTCGTTGCTTCTGTAGAAGACCATGAAAGGGTCCGACTTGCCGAAGAAGTCTTTCTTGTCCAGTTTGTTGGCACAGCACTGCATCGTGGCGCTGTCCTACAGGGAAGCATGGAGATGTGGGGAGAGAAGTGTGAGAAAGGGTTTGGGGGGAAGGGTATATCATAACTTCTCTACAATGGAAGGTATTATTATTATTTACAGTATATGGCACTCTTCTTCCCCTGATTCTTCTCTTTTATCTTCTCAGCTCTCCGCAGATGGAGGAAGCTGTGCATTACACAGCCTAATGAATACAGCATCACTGCTGTAGTCTCTGTTAATGTTTATGGGTGTATGTGTTTTTTATATGATTGTATTTAGTGTAACACTTCAAGTCTGGTCCATTACTGTACACGCTCATACAAGTATACAGCACAATACATATAGTGTACATTTACCCACACATGTAACACAGCTGCTGTTAAAACAAATAATTCACCTATTTGAATGAGGATGTAGATATATTACTTTATTGACTTTGTAGTGTGGTTGTCACCTTTTTCCACTCTATGAACTGCTGGCAGTCAGCCCACCATACACTTTAGCCTTATCTATCACCACAGCCTAATGGGGTGTGTGTGTGTGTGTCTGTGTGTGTGTGTATGTGTGTGTGCGCGCGTGTGTGTGCGTGCGTGCGTGCGTGCGTGTGTGTCTTCAAGTATGCAGGCATTTTAATCTCCAACCATTGTACCTCATCCACCCACCTGTAGTCCAGCTAACGTCAGTGCCAGCTGCTTTCCAAGTCTAATTCTAGCATTAGTAATTGTCATCAAGCTAACCTATTCTGATACCAGTAACGGCATCTGGAAAGCAACAGATGCTTCCAATATATTCCAGCCTCAGAGAAATAACAAACTGCTCTGGGTCTTGTATTTTTCTAATATCCTTTGAAGGCTGCTTTTGCATCTTGTTATAATCAAATACAAATGATGTTGTTTTCCATTTAGAGCCATTTCAGAACTTTTGGGTATCATTCTGATAGTAAACTATGTTCCTAGATAGCCATAGTGTACTTCGGTAGATATTAAGCAAGAATTGCAAGATAAATCTTAAACTACTAAAAATACTTTTTTTGTAGTAATTACCTATAAATTACTGACACTTTAATCACAGAATTTCTGTTAATAACTACAGTATGATAGTTGTTGAATGTGTAAGCATGGAGCATTTTCGATATTTTCCAGTAGTATGCCAGAAAACACAACAACTATAGGTATCAGAACTGAAAAAAGAAAACAATGCTAAGTGGTGTTGACACTCCTACGATCAAACAATACCCGTATCAAGATGATGAAGAAAAATAAATACTATTTTTATATATTTATTTTGCAGCAAATCACTGCGACCTGTGATTGGCACACTACGACCGCAGCTAGAGCCCATTTAGTCTGTTATGGTAAAGATGCCTCCATTCATGATGGGTAGGAAGAACATTATGGACAAAATTACACTTTGGTACTTTGTTGCTATCCGTATCGCATTGAGGGTGCCGGGTTCTTAACATTTGAACGATAAACAGCCCAACTTTACTGTATTAGTATGTTTCTTGCAGCTTCCATAATGCTCGCTGTAAACCGACTCCTGTTCTTTCTCCATTTACCCTCACCCTCTCAGGAATGAGCCCGATTATGTTTTTTCTCCACCAGTTGTTTATCATGATGTGTAAGGCTTTTACCATCCCCAAATATAAATCCCATTACTGGTGGTGAGGCTTGTACAACTTGTTAACTGTTACCCCTCCCTCTTCATGACCTGTGTGGTGGCAGTGCAGGAGGGAACGTATCTCTGGTGAATAGGCTGTGGCTAATCTCTGCTGCACAGTGGGTTCATTACAGTATGTTCAGATGCTGTAACAGTAGATTGCTGTTGCTCGAGCCTTACTCTGCGGCCCATGGTGCCACTAATGATCACTTAATAGCTTTTTAATGTTGCAGCTTGCACCTTGTGTTCTTGCCGTGTGCCGAGTAGCAAATCAGCAAAAGAATGTGTGAGAGGATGCAAGTGTGTGAGAGTGAGTGCAGGAGAGTTTCTGTGCACATATGCCCATTTGAATTCATGCATGCATCTTCCCACAGCGTCCTCACTGTGTCTTTATCACTCACAGCCAGGCACAGTGCAGCACACACTTCCCTCTGACACACTCATGATCGCATCCACTCCACTCCCGCAGTAAGAGGAGCTTTATCTGTATTCCTGTCCTCACCCTGAGAACACACACACACATATCACACGTCTGCCATTTGACAAATCCCTCCTACACAGAATACTTACTCTGTTTCATTCTCTTAAAAACACTCCTTTAATCCTCCTGGGGGATGTTTGCAGCCGTGATTGACACAAGCAGTTGAATGTTTATGTCATCTGAATATGTGACAGTAGAAATAGCAGCAGTTCTCACTTCTATAGCTTTGTGGTGTGTATTTTCAACAAGTACCTAACTCCAACAAGTACGCATACAAGCAGAGTTCAAGCTTACAATTTAATGTTTAGGACATACGATACGATATTACTTTATTTGTCAGATCAAGTCTGAAATTTGACTCGCGTCACAGCAGCTCCATGTCCAACATCAACAGACAAGTATCCAGACACAATACATGAAACACAAACAACAAACATTTAACATAACAGCACAATCAGTGAGAGAAAAGCTGCTCAAAGAGCCTTCAGCGTGCATTTGATCTGGGATTTAGCTCTGTATTTACTGTGAGGATTGACTGATGCACAAATGAGTGCTTCAGTCTGACTTTATTGAATGGTGGGACCCTGTATCTCCGATTAGATGGTAGCAGTTCATATTCACTGTTCAGAACATGGTTTGGGTCAGAGATGATGTTGTTGGACAGCCTCACTAGGTTGTTATGATAGGCTGAGTCATGGAGTCTCTGACAGGGTTGACCAACAATCTTTGAGCAGATTTTTAACAGGTGGAGCAGTTTTGATTTTAAAGCTGCTGACAAACATTTGTACCAGGTAGTATTGCAGTACTGCAGAATAGACATGATCACAGATGTAAAGAACAACAGAAGAATTTCTCTGCTCGCCCCAAAAGACCTAAGACGGCGGAGAAAATCAATTCTTTGTTTTGTCCTTTTGCACAGATATTCAATGTGATCCTTCCATGACAGCAGATGGTCAATCATTACACCCAAGTATTTGTATGAAACTCCCTGCTTGGTTTCATCTGTATGGATGACAATGGGGACTTTATGGGAGTCAGATGTTGAGCCAAAAACGATTTCCTCAGTTTTCTTGGCGTTGATCTCAAGAGCATTGTTATCAGTCCACTCGACCACCTGATTTACAGCCTGTTGGTGCAGCTCAGGGTCGTCTGTGTTGCTGAGCAGCGATATTATTGCGGTATCATCAGAGTACTTAATGATGGCTTGATTTGGTGTGCTGGTACATGCATTCAAATAAATCGTAAGAATCATATTGTGAAGAATGTTTTATTCCTGCACCCAATAAAAGTGATTTAAAGAAATATCCCAGATTATGTTTTACTCCAAGGCTCTACTACTATCCACCGACAAAAGAGATTTAAATAACTCCCAAGACTGAGGGGCAAGATTTGGCGTATAATTGAGTGCATTTTTAATACGTGCCAATTTCCTGTCTGCTATCCAAACCCTCCTTACTCCTGCCTGTACGCAAACAATCATACCTGTGGGATACAATGTGTTCAAGCTCACTAATATTTTAAGCACTCACACACAAGCATAATGTTAACATTAGCTTTTCTACATGTTTTGTCCCCAGCAGAAGAAAATGTATATAATAAAAATAGACAGTGAAATTACTAATGAATTTACCATCTATGCATTGTAAGAAACAAAAGTGTCTCAACACAAACAGTACATTTAGCTTCGAACTCAAATGTATGGATGTTCACTAATGTCAATTCACAAATCAACATGACTGAGCAGGCATGCAGCTTGTGCTCGGTGGGATTTACTGTTGACACACAGCAGATCAAAGGCTGTTGCATGGCCCTGAAGGATTGTTGTGGATTATCGTGCTGTAATATTACATTTTCAGTTTTCATGCATTTATTCAGTGAAATGCAGTTCCTTGGAAAAAGCAATTACTTTATAGGTTGCCATTGTAATCTGTGTTCAAACAATTACAATCAACAGTGAATACAGTAAGCATCAAATCCTGATTTCTTATTGATTAGTGAAACACTGTATCAGGCCTAAATGGATAAAAGCAATCAAATCACCATCACAGTTATCCTGCTTTATATCAATGATATCAACTTAACAGAGATATAAACTGTAAACATAGGGTTTTAGTTGGTTTAAAGGGATTAAATGAACTTGCTGATCAAGTTGTTCACAAAGTAAACACAGATGTTGGCATTCAGAAAAGCTCACGGCACTCTGGGTCTGCAAAAGGGAGGACACACGAGGAATTCTCTGCGGGGCTAATAGACACATAAAAGCATTTATGGTGATAGATGTGTTGAGGATATTAAATATTCATCTGCTCCTGCCTCATTAAGGTTCTGAGGCACGAACACACACCCTTGCAGAGGTCTGTGATCAACAGCCATTTGCTAATATGGAGAGAATCCGAGTATCAATATTTAAAGAAGGGGAGCAGGCTGGATAGAGACACATTCACACCCTCAGGGGTGTAATGAAGGATTGTTTGTGACAGGAGAGAGTGTGTGTTACTGCACTAATTAAGACAGACAAAATGGGGAGAAGACAAAAGGGAAAGGTAGTAAAACTATAGCATGAGGACCAAACCGGTGCATTTATATTGGAATATAAGCATGAATTACTGTGAGCCATTATGTTTGTGCCCCTTGGGCTAAAAAGCGTAAAAAGGATTTACGGCAAAGGCGAAAAGAGATGGGGAATTGGGGGAAACAAGGTCAATACCTAATTAAAGTCCAAAGCTCCCGGGTTAAAAAAGAGGAGGCTGATTTAAAACGATAATGAAAGAAAAATGATTCCTGCTGTTTTGATGATGCCCCCCCCCGTGTCCAAAGTGCACAAATCAGTTAACACTCAATCTAAGGATACGTGACATTCAGTACATGGTCCTCAGTGATTTGGCATTCCTTTACATGAGTGGTTCCTCGCTTGAGTGAGCTTCCCCCTTTTTTGCTTGATTTAAAACCTGAGGATACTAAATCTGTGATTTATGTTATCCTGTGGCATAAGGATTGCCAAACAGTGTACGTGATTGGAATTGAGTGTCAGCAATTTCTGCTTTCCGCTCTCTACCCACATCTTCTTATCGCTCCACTCCCAGCTGCTCCAGGTTGTCTATTTTCTACATTTGAAATGTTCTTTATCCCAGTTGTTCTCTGCTAACCTTAAAATAACACAATTTACAGTTTGCTCTGTAGGAAATGATGTGCATGCTGCCCTTCATGTGTATTGCACGATGCAAAGTAACATTTAGATGGCATTTAAATGAGGTGGAGACTCATGAAGTGAGGTCGACAGATGTGGATCTTCTGTTAGAAGTAGATTAGACAATGAGAATGTTCCATCAAAGTTGTAATTATCCTGATAAATAAATGTGTATTTCAAAGTTGTAAAAGGTAGAGGGCCTGGATGATAGGCAAACAACAGTGGTTCTTGTCACACAGAGACAGACCCTCACCACACATCTGTCCGTCATGGATTATCTACACTCACTGCTGGTGGCCAAAAGACAGACTGCAAAACAGTCCAGCAGTTCAGTTTGTAGAAATAAAGCTGAATCAAAATCATGTTGGGCTTGCTGCTCTGCTCCCACGCTGCTCTGCTCACATTCCTTGTTGCAGATATGTTCTAAAAAATAAATAAAAACAAAGATTTCCCTTGTGAACCAGCCAAATTGCTTTTCTGTAGAGAGATGCAACTAGACTGAGATACTGTTAGTGCTTTAGAAGGACGCAATTATGCAGGGTAATAACTCCAATGTGGGCAGACACATGAAGTCAATATTGTCATAACATTGTACATATGGAGTTTTGAGAAGCTATAAGCATTAGGCTTAACTGTATACGTTTGTATATTTTGCTATCAGTAACAATATTTCGTTTTTTGTTCCACTGCTACTGTAGTTGTATTCCCCAGAAATCCTGCGGGATCCATGTTTACTGATGCAGACATTTATTTTAAAGGCTGCTTAACTGTGAAGCCCCTAATGTATTTGGGAGCCGTAGCCACCCTCGGAAATGGGTTGCTTCGGGCGTGATAATGTTTGCGAGTGGGAGTTAATCAAATGTATGTAACCCCATATTGTTATGGTCAAAGTGTTGGGATATCTAGTGAAACTTTTAATATCCAGCCCCTGGAGTTTGAGAAAGGTTTCACTAAATTTAAATTGCTAAATTTACTTTACGCCATATCAACTTGATGAAATGGGATTTGTTTCTCAAGCTCATCGTATTTAGTCCATATGGTTTAGGTTTATAAAACTGTTGAACTATGGAAATCAGTTAATCAAAATGGATCAGAAGTCTGCTAATATGTGCATCATGTAGTACAGGATTGTATAATATTGGACTCACTACACGAGTCACATTCAGTTTGTATTCAGTTTGGAGCATCTGCTAAAATGTGATTGGTCATGTTGGGCTGCTAATGGATTTTCCCGCATGTTTCTTGTGCCATTGGAGGTTGTGATCACATTAGTCAAGTTGAGAACGGGCACTGTGACCTTCTGTTCAAGCAAAGATGTCTGTTTGTCTATGACCTTGTTTTTTTAACTTAAGCTGCTCTTCCTTTGATCATTATTCTAATGATGTTCAACCCCTGATGTGAGACAAATGGTACAAGCAATTAAAGTGTCTCTCTCTTGAGACTTCTTTACACTTTGTAGTTGTATGAAGCCAAAAGGAAACTGTCAACTTAAATAAATTAAAAGCTGGTGACCTCAAGTGTCTTACTGAAAGTAGTGTCAATCTTTGTGTACTGTATACATTTGTATTTAAAAAAGAGCTGAACCAAATGTTTATGACATCCCCACGTTTTAAAAAAAAGCACTTATCAGGGTCGTCATATTGGACAATACTGGCTGTGACTGAAAACCATGTGTATAGATCTCGGATGAGTTTTAATCATGAGCAAGTACACATGTTTACCATGCCACTTAAACAATTCTATGGAGACTGCTCCATGAAACTGATGAGAAATGTTTGCTTATGAATGAATGCTAAATATGCGTTAACTTCCTCAAACGAGCCACAACCTCCAATGCATCCATTATTTTAAAATCATGCTATGCAGATGAGTTCTTTGCTCAATTCAAGATTTCAGTGTTTCCAAAGAAACCAAATGTGTCTGACAGACCTTTAGCTAAGGGTTGAAACTAAAGATATCACAGAATAATGTTTTTCTCATTGAGTATGGATGGAAAGGCTTAGTTTCACTGTGAGGCTGTAAACCCAACATTGAATTATTGCCTTTTGAGATAATTTGAGGATCTTTTAGGAACTGGTTTATTAGTTAGTAGTTCAGTTTGTGTGTGAGAGAGACAGTGTGTTTGAGAGAGAGAGAGAGAGAGAGAGAGAGAGAGAGTGTGTGTGTGTGTGTGTGTGTGTGTGTGTGTGTGTGTGTGTGTGTGTGTGTGTGTGTGTGTGTGTGTGTGTGTGTGTGTGTGTGTGTGTGTGTGTGTGTGTGTGTGTGTGTGGTGTGTGTGTGTGTGTGTGTGTGTGTGTGTGTGTGTGTGTGTGTGTGTGTGTGTGTGTGTGTGTGTGTGTGTGTGTGAGAGTGAGAGAGAGAGAGTGAGAGAGGGTGTCTGTCTGTGTGTGTCTGTCACATACGCTACAAGGGACAAGGTCAGGCAGGGCTGCGTTTTAATTAACCAACACTCTGTTTCACACTATCATAAGCCAAGCTGTTCTTATAGCTAAGAGCCACACGCCTGACGTGAAATAATCCTTTATTGATTCACTTCACTGTCTCTTTCTATCTGTCTGACTCTATTTGTCTCTCTCTCTTCGACACACAATCGCACACACATTTCTGTTTCCCTCCATCTAATCACTGCTTGTTTGCTCTTTTATTATCATTGTGCCATTTGGTATTTCTCCTTTACCTTCCCTCTCTTTGTGTCATTTGCTCTGTTGCACTCTCTTGCTTTTCAATATCCTTGTCTAATCTGCGCGCTGGGAGCCCAGTGGAGCATCCGAAGCGTCAGTCCACAGTGATGGCGGAGGGGCCGATCAGCGCTCACCCCTTCATGTTCCTGGGCTTTTTCATTAGACAGGTGCACCTTCAGCAGAGTGTTATAATCTGAGAGAGGTGTGTGTGTGTGTGTGTGTGTGTGTGTGTGTGTGTGTGTGTGTGTGTGTGTGTGTGTGTGTGTGTGTGTGTGTGTGTGTGTGTGTGTGTGTGTGTGTGTGTCGCAATTACGATTATGGCTTGCAACGAAAACAACGTAATCGAAATAAAACGAATTATTATTATTTATTTTTTTCAGTTGAATTATACTTAAAGTTCAGGGTAATCAACTTTTAAAAACATACTGTTCAAAAAAAATTCTCCAATAAATTAATGTTTTCAAAGTAAATGGATAATCGTTTTTAATAATCTTGATATCAATTATTGACCCAAATAATCGAGATTATGATTTTTGCCATAATCGAGCAGCCCTAAGCCTTACACTGAACACTATCTGTTACTTCACATTAAAGATCAGAAACAAAATAACATAAAATAGTCTACAGTAAAATATATGTTTATATATGTTTTTTTAAGGTCCTACTATATGTACAGTATGCCTGGCTCTTCAAAGCCAGAATATCAAAAACAGCAACACATAAGCACTCAAACACCACATACCCACTTCTCTTGAGAGTGCATCATGAAACTGATGAATAACGTTGGTTTATGAATGCTAAATGTGTGTTAACCTCTTCAAACAGGCACGAACCATCGCAGAATACATTTATGCAAACTAATGCAGTGCAGACAAGCATTTTGCATTACCCATTGAGCCTGGATAGAAATACCTAGTTTCACCTTAAAGCTGCTGAAGTTGAGGCCTTTTTTGGGTGGTGGATTTTAATTTGACTAAAACGTTGTGATTACTTCTCATGAACTGAAGACACATTGTGAAACGGGTGAAGTTCTAAGACGAAAACACGGATGAAACCCACATCAGAAAACAGCGTGGGATGTAACTGTCAATCACAATGTAGCCCCGCCCTAAAGGTTTTGTCTATTTAGTCAAAATAGGACAATTATTTACACAATTACCATCATACGGAACAGTTATACTTGGCGATTAAGTCGTTCAATTATTTGAAATGTTTTACTGAGGTAATAACTCCAGTAGTAGGCAGGGGTAATCTTCTCATAGACCTCTCTACAATTCAACTTGTTTTTGCAACCAATGGATTTGACCCCTTCTGGCTAGTAAAGAGAATGCAAAATGTTGGTACTTCCGCATTGACTTGGCTTTTCAGAACCGCAACATGTGTATTGTTGTGAAATGACTTGTTGATAACATATACCCCAAGAAGATGTGTGATTCTGTGCAAATAAAACACTTCTCAAAGTGGGCTGAACAGGGTCAGCATGACATTTCTTTGTCTATCGCTGTGTGTCTGCACTTATTTGCCCCCCTAAGCTTTTACCCTCCTCAATCCACTTCATGCACAATGTTTTTTTTAACCAGGCTGCACCGACAGATGTTTGTATGCTAATGTGTGTTTGGCAGGGGAAATTATTATGGCTTACTTACTCGACAATTGCTCAGCTCCTCTGCGGACAGGACGATAGTGCCACATTTCTTCCCTTGGATCCCCCTGTGGAATAAAGAAACGAAAAGAGCTAAACATAAATAAATGGAAACACATCTTCAATTTGTCCACTCTTGCCCACTCTTAATTGATCAATACAGGCCACTGCAGCAAGAATAAAAGCATGTTCCTTTTCCAATTGTGAAGTAGTCCTTCTGATAATACTCTACAACACAAGTCTATTTGATCCATTTAACTTATTTTATTTCAGTATTACTGTCATTGAACAGGGCAACACACTCAACCTGAGAAACCTCGGAGGACTTTAGCTCTAACTGGCTGTAACATACCGTAAACTTTCAACGTTGAGGGCTGACGTGTACTTCAGTATGATGTGTTGTGCAAGTTATACCCTATTATGCTTATGCTTACTAGAAGTTTTACACACCGGGGCAAACGTCCAGTATCCATTTCAACTGGCCAACATGTTAAATTGTCACTTCATATTCAAGTGATTGGGTGGAGTGAGGAGTTCTGTATTAGGGAACATAGTTCAGTTTTCCCTCCAGACTTTCAGATCTCTCGCCTTTCATTTTAAAAACTCTTTCAAATCAATCCATCATCTCTTGGCTCGTTCACCACACAAGAAGCAGAGCTTTTACTCCCAGCTGAGAAATATGATCCAACATCGTAAACTCAATTTATGGTCGGTTTTAAAACATTTTCCTAATTGAACAAAGCAACTGATGTAATTTCAAACTTGACTCTGAGATTTTGGAGATGATGGTTTTCCTTTACCTCGGGGAATTGAGAATAAGGGCTGCTTTTAAAACCATTCATCTTAAAAAAATCCCCTTTGCACACATTCAAATTAATGTATCTTATCCTTCTCTCTTATGTCATAATATGTTAAATGTAGCTCTTTCTATTCGTGTATATTTGCCTTGAGGTCAAAATGACAGTGCCAATTTCCAATGCAGAATTATCATGTAATTCAGATTGAGGTTGTGTGTGTGTGTGTGTGTGTGTGTGTGTGTGTGTGTGTGTGTGTGTGTGTGTGTGTGTGTGTGTGTGTGTGTGTGTGTGTGTGTGTGTGTGTGTGTGTGTGTGTGTGTGTGTGTGTGTGTTTAAAAAGCTTAAAGCCTGTCAAATACTAAATCTACACCGTCCTTAAATCCACTCATGGTGACAGGTAGAATGAAATTGTAATGTGCAGAAAATGAAAATGAGTATAAGAAATCTTAAACGGAAAAGATGTAAACAAATGTGAATCAGATATTTTCACTCTGTCTCCAGCTTGTTCAGAATGATGTGTCAAGGCTTTTAAAATGATCAAGTATGAGAGAGAACAAATGACTCCATGGGCGTTTCTCAATCGCGAGTACACATGCTGCAGAGCAACTATTTCAAGTATACTACGTCATAGAGTGGCGCAGAATGCTGGGCATTTAACATGCATTTAAACAGTCCTTCGGCGCCACTCGATGACGTAGTATACTTGAAATAGTTGTTCTGCAGCAGTTTTACTTGCGATTGAGAAACGGCCACTTCTCTCTGTTGTCTTCCTCTTAGTCATGGNATTTATTTCAGAAACACTTTTTGTTATATTCCATGGAATGCTCTTAACATCCCAATAGCAATGAATATATTAAATGCATTGACAATAAATACATACAAAAATGTAATCTGTGGAAGCCGTGGCGCAGTAAAAAGCACGAACAATCATTTTAGCCGGCCCGGCTAAAATAACTGGATGGCCTACCTGCCTGTCAGCCTTCCATCCGTGCACAAACTTATCTCGTGCCCTCATTGGTCATGTGCACGTTCGTGTGTGTTGGAGGAGGGGCTCTGTAAGGATGTGGCAGATTTTTTCCGGTTGTGTATTTTCAAATTCTAGCGCACTCAAGCTGGTTTCTCCAAAATTACATACCCCACCTTTAACTAGTTGTACACACTTTCTTCAATTAGTTAACAAGCTATGGCAAAAAGGTTAACTATAAGCCCCTTTTTCCCTTACTACACTGAACAAAAATATAAATGCAACACTTTTGTTTTTGCTCCCATTTTTCATGAGATGAACTCAAAGATCTAAAACATTTTCTCTATACACAAAATAACCATTTCTCTCAAATATTGTTCACAACTCTGAAAAAATCTGTGATAGTGAGCACTTCTCCTTTGCCGAGATAATCCATCCTACCTCACAGGTGTGGCATATCAAGATGCTGATTAGACAGCATGATTATTGCACAGGTGTGCCTTAGGCTGGCCACAATAAAAGGCCACTCTGAAACGTGCAGTTTTGCTTTATTGGGGGGGTCTGGGGGGGTCCGAAAACCAGTCAGTATCTGGTGTGACCACCATTTGCCTCACGCAGTGCAACACATCTCCTTCGCATAGAGTTGATCAGGTTGTTGATTGTGGACTGTGGAATGTTGGTCCACTCCTCTTCAATGGCTGTGCGAAGTTGTTGGATATTGGCAGGATCTGGAACACGCTGTCGTATACGCCGATCCAGAGCATCCCAAACATGCTGAATGGGTAACCCCTAACCCATGCTGGATGTGGAGGTCCTGGGCTGGTGTGGTTGCACGTGGTTTGCGGTTGTGAGGCCGGTTGGATGTACTGCCAAATTCTCTGAAACTTTGGAGACGGCTTATGGTAGAGAAATGGACATTCAATTCACGGGCAAAAGCTCTGGTGGACATTCCTGAGAGAGAGATAGATAAGTAGAGAGAGAGAGAGAGATAAGTAGAGAGATAGATAGATAGATAGATAGATAGGGAGAGAGAGAGAGAGAGAGATAGATAAGTAGAGAGAGAGAGAGAGATAAGTAGAGAGAGATAGATAGATAGATAGATAGATAGGTAGAGAGAGAGAGAGAGAGAGAGAGAGAGAGAGAGAGAGAGATAGATAGGTAACAACACATAACAGCTGTTCCTCTCAGCTCACTCTGATTGCTCCTCTACTTCATGTGTCTTTCCTTTCTTTCTTTTTACATTTGATACTTGAGGTTTTGTAATATATTGTTGTCAATTGTTTAATGAATGAATTGTATTTGTTTTTCTTATCATATATCCTTGACGTTTTGGCAATATTGTTCACCTGACATTCATGCCAATAAAGCATATCGAATTGAAAATTGAATTGAATTGACAGAGATGGATAGATAGAGAGATAGAGAGATAGATTGGTAGATAGATGGATAGATAGATAGATAGAGAGATATAGGGAGATAGGGAGGGAGAGAGAGAGAGAGAGAGAGAGAGAGAAAGAGAGAGATAGGGAGATCCAATTTTGGACATTGTTTTTGTTACAGCATTATGATACGACAATACTTTAATGGTCAGATCAAGTTCCGTCATTATCCATTGCAATGTCAGACAAAGATACATATTAAGTACGCCTCGTTAAGTTGTTATGGTGATTCATAAAGTCTCGAGCTACAATCTTTGAGCAGATTTTTCACAACATTCTACATTATGTTTATACAAACATTTATCTTCTAATGTTTATATAAAACATTTTATATTTTGAGATGTATTATACAAATATCTCAAAATATAAAATACAATCTGAACTTTTACGTTTAAATATATACATAGGGACAGTGGAAGATATCAGAAGACTGTCAAATATTCAGTATGAGGGGCTGATATTATTAACATGAGTGTGATCCATGTGTCTGATTGTTAGCCTTTTTTCAAATCTTTGCCGGATGTACTTAAACAGGTCCTTCCGTCCTGCGGCTGTCAGACCACCACTGACCCTGGTAGACCCCCACACACATTTAACAACACAGACTATTACCCCTCTGTTGTAAAATAACAACAATGTGCAATTATGTAAAACACTATGAAACAAACAAAGACTATTACACCTGGCTGCCTCTCGTATTCAGTCCATCCATTACTGTAACAGGAATCTTTACGTAACTATGTGCAATAACAATTGTTATATACCACACTTCATTTTACAATACTACACTTACTTTATTTTATAAATACTGCTACTACTTATCTACCTGAATGTGAACTTCTGTGAAATTATAATAATTTTTATTTTAAATATATGCATGCCTTTTTATAAAATAGTGTTCCATTCTCTTTGTCTCTATCTATATTTTTCTGTAACAACGTTATTTCCCCTTTGTGGGACGAATAAAGGAATTCTGAAATTGAGATAGTCATGAAAATAGAAATATTTTATCGTCCGTCAAAGGTAAACCATTTTTCATATTAGAGCTAAAACTGAGTTCCGCTCAGTGAAGTTACTGCATGTGTGTGTGCACTCCATCCTTCAGTGCACAACAACATCCCTCCTGTTTCACTCACCGCATTTCTTATTTCATGTTTGGGGATGGTAAACATTTGTTTTATCAGCGACCTTCATTCTTTTACTCTTGAGGACTGATTTGGTCTTGTGGGGACTGATGAGCAGTGCTGTGTCTGTCAGGGCCCATTTAACAGTGAGCAGTGTTTACAGAAGCTCCAGCCTGCACTTTAAACATGTTGTACCTTGTGGGAATTACTTCTTAACCTCCAAGATACACCACACTTATAAACCGATTACAATTCAGATAATAATAGTTGCTTCTGTTTCCAATCCTGCTTTAAATATGATTTGACATAAAACAAGAAAAGGAAAAACTGAAAAACATGAATGTTCCTGATATGATGATTAACATACAGTATTGCCCATTGAGAGAGCAATGTGCAGAACAAACACGGAACACCTTATTACTTCAAAAGGACAGCCTAATTTTAAACAGGGATGTGTGAAGAGCCATGACTGATCAACACGGAGCTGCAGTCTGGTCCCCACCCTGCAGCTCCGTGTGACAGAAGTCTGTGGCCGTTTCTCAATGTCGAGTACACATGCTGCAGAGCAACTATTTTAAGTATACTACGTCATCGAGTGGCGCAGAATGCTGGGCATTTAACATGCATTTAAACAGTCCTTCGGCGCCACTCGATGACGTAGTATACTTGAAATAGTTGTTCTGCAGCAGTTTTACTTGCGATTGAGAAACGGCCACTTCTCTCTGTTGGCTTCCTCTTAGTCAT